ATACCTTTCCCAAGGGTATAATATATAATAATGGAATATAATGAATTCGACTGGAATTCGAACTCGGCTCTCCGATTCCTCAATCTGAGCCGCTATCTATTACCCCACCGTGTCACTTACTGGTTTTTAAAAAAATCAACTCGCTGAGATTTTCTTTTCTTTAGTTTCGATTAGCTTTGTTAGGGCATTGGGGAAAGGTAGCACTGGACATAGACTGATTGAAATGACTATAATCTTGTCAGTCACCTCTGCAAGTCTATCTAGACATGACTTTGATAGATACTGAGGTTGGTCAGTTTCTTATTTTCTTATTAGTTTAGATTCGGTTCGTCAGAGTATTTTACGGTAGAATTTGATATAGATTGATTTGGTGTCGAAATATCCCTTATTTTATAAGCCACACATGCAAGTTTATCTCTAAATGTATCACCGTCTATAATTGGTAAAATATCATGTGATAATCTTTGTATGCATACATGCCTCATGATATCGTCATCTTGATTTGTACTGGAGAAAAGTCTCAAATATCGTAGAGATTGAGTAGATTTTTCTGTCTTCTAATTTTCTTGTTATCAACTGTCTTCTTACTTCCTCTTCTTTTGTTTTCACTCTTTAATGTGTTTTTCTTATCTTTCACTCAGTAATCCCTTGTGTCTGAGTGGCTTTATTGCCTTGCTTGAGGTGAAATAATTAAAAAAAAAAGGTTAATAATTGCTGTAAATGTTTTTGATCTAAAAGAGATGTTTGTAAATTTTTTTCTTTTAATTTATATTGTGAAACGCCTGGCGATTCCATTATTAGATCGCTAAATTCTATTACGATTTCTGTCGACAATGAGATATCTACATACGCAAATTTTATGAACTAAGTAGTAATGTTTTTCGCAGTCAAAATTGCCCCTTACTATGCAGAATCGAGTCGACAATCTGGACAAAAATTTATGTAAAAAAATACGACCCACTGTCTCTTTCTACTACCTAGAGCGAAGACATTTCAACCAATGAGGCGTTCAAATCAGAAGGAACTTTTTTGATAAGCCTTGTTTCTGGGCCTGATTATGGCAACGCTTTGCATGATTCAGGGTAATAAAAAGCGGAATGTTCTGGATGAAAAAAGACTTGACAAGAGAACTCCTCCTCAAGATTATTTTCAACCAATCAGAGGAACAGAATTTGAAATTTGCGACAATTCTATGAGACGGGAGCGGCCATCAGGCTTAAATCACTGCTCATTCATGACTCGACTCTGAATGGATCGTCATGACAGATGGAGTCAGCAGATTTTGTTACATCCAACAGTGAGCTGAAAGAAGGACGCTGGACTCCGAGATACTACGTGACCAACAAACGAATCCGGAGAGCATATGAAAAGTTAACACAATTTTGGATATGTCAAATCAACAAACTAAATTTTCCTCGATGACAGAAGAAAACTCATTCATTGCAATTATAATTTTACAACGCTGTACTATCATCAACGAGTTTGCCACAACGACATTCATTCGGTAGTTCATCCCCAATACTACGTCGACTTATCAATTTCGAACGTATCAGAAAATTAACACCACCTCGTGAAATTCGCTGTCATTCTACCAAGGACATTTTTTAATTTAGCAACTAATGTAAGTCCTTACATTTTTATGAAATTTTTCCTCTACCTAGCTTAATATCTTGGGCTCTCGAAGTAATATTTTTGTAACAGTAGTCTAAGTTTAATAAATAAAATAAAATAAAAATATTTTTAAGTCCTCTGAAAAGTATCACCTACTTATCATCTCCTTAACATCTCATTAACATTAACACCAGTAATTCTTAAAGACAGGTCAATCAGCTAACTTCGTTCCTGAAACCAGATACGTAGATAAGTAAAACAAAAGATCAAAGACTCTGTACCTAATCGAAGGACAATCCTACATGCATTCATACCACTTACCGATCCCAATATAAACCCAGGAAAAGAGGGCTTCGAATTCAGTTCTCTTTATGGTACACTTTCGCCAGAAAGCGGGATAACCTGGTCCATTCCTCTAACCACGAAAGAATTTATCAAGACGTCTGCCTGTTACACAAAAGGAAGACTCACTTATTCCCCCACTCTCTCTCTCTCTCTCTCTCTCTCACGAACGTGCTGCAAGCTATAAATTCTCTCGCACAAGAAGAAACCTTCCAAAACGACATTCACTCAGATGTTCATTCATTTTGAATGGAAAAAAAAATCACGATTCTGAGCTATCCTCCACGTTTTGAGCAAGACGTCTTATTTTCATATAAATTATTGTAAATTTTACGCTGAATACGAGTCCTTTTTATTAAGCGCCAAAAATCAAGAAAAGTAACCAATTGATATTTTTATAGGGTAAATCCCCATTGCTGCGGTAAAAACAGAGTTCATTCGAGCCATTACAGAATCGCTTACTCATTGTCTTCCCGCATTATAACTACTGCCAATGAAAATACATGGTCTAATTAATTGTTGAAATACAATTACAAATTTTATATATATATATATATATGTATGTATGTATGTATGGATGGATGGATGGATGGATGGATATGTCCAATCAAAAAATTGTTCTCTTTATTGAATTTCTTTATAAATGTCAAACGTTTTGACTGGTAAAAAAATATCAAGCTTTCAGAGTTAAATCCGTGAGTTACTAAGAAGATACAAGTTTTTTTTTTGTTTTTTTGTTTTTTTTTATAACCACGGACCTAAGTGATCAGCATAGAAACAAGTAAGTCGGAGTACCAAATATTGAATCGTTAATAAGAAAACGTTTCCTTTTTTCTAGGGTTATCGGAGGTCATCAATCTACAAGGTGATCAACGATGTGATGTAAAAGAAATATTATTTTAATTTATCATTATATAAGTCATTTTTATTTTATTTTCCTGTTAATTGATGATGATCAATTAACTAAAAATATTTGTTTATTTATAATCACGTATAATTGACGCTTTCTGACAAAAGATATGGAGGACAAAAATGGCGATATTTACTGAAGATAAAGAAGATTTATGAACGTCAGAACGGTTATAAGATTGATGATATTCAGGCCTAATTCCCCGTTTACTTAAAAGAACCAAAAAAAAATAAAATAAAATAATAATAATAATTACTGCTATTAAAAAGGAAGTGAAGAATTTTGAAGAGATAGAGAAGAATTCAACATTAACATTTTTAAACGCAATTCCCGACAAGCAATAATTTTTAAAAAGTATTCGCACAGGAGAAAATACAAAAACATCAACAAATCAATCATTAAGCACATTGAGTGATAAATTATTTCATCTGCAGATATTTAAACATAAAGTTCTTTTGAGGAAGAAAATTCAAGTGTTGAAGTTGATTGTATCACAGGTAGGTAATGATAGAGTTCAATATTTTAAACTTCATAAAACAATGCACCTGATTCAGTTACTTTTCAGTTTTCATTGTGGAGTATATAGCTAAGGCGTTTGAAGTCAATGTAGAAAAATTTGTCTTAAAAAAATATAGTTTGACATTTTTAGCGAAAGGTGGCTTCACGCGAGAACGTCACAAAAAGTGACTTATCTCCTTAACGAACGGACGTAAAAAAAAAGACATCTTTTCTGGTTCGATGATTGTTTAACGTGCATGTATGGAAGTTTCACTGCACGACATATTTTTAAGAAGAGCAAGATAATAATAATAATAATAATAATAATAATAATAATAATAATAATAATAATAATAATAATGTGTTTTTATTTTATTTTAAACAGGTTGTGTAAAAATTAATTACGCAACTTCTGCATAAAAAAAAATTGTCGTGTCGTTAGATATCGTGAATGTAAGAATTTGAAAGGGCTTAGGCTACTCACTGTTTACAAAAGATTTCAAAACTGTCACAAAAAAAATTATTGGTGACAAAAAATATTCACAACACTTGGCAAGACAGAGAAGGTAAGTGTGTGAGTACCTGAAAGAAAACTTAAAAGCTTTTGAAAAAACACGGACATTCGGCTGAGTGTCCTTTTGAATTTTAAACTGTAACAAACTGTTGCTCTTAAGTAACATAATACATCTTCTTACTAAAGTTTTCCAAACTCACACACTTTTCTACACATCACAGTTTATCAACAAGAATATTTTTCTCACTCAAACAAAATTCCAAGGACAAGTAAATTTCAGCATTTCAAAAACAAATGAATTACTGTCTGTACAATTTTTGTTATGCATATACATTCTAATTTCATATGCAACTTTTCTTGTTGAATGTTATTCTTCTTGTTTACTTATTCCTTTAGCACCTTTGTAAAGTAAAAATCGTACTGGTTGAATTGAAGCCGCTCAACCCGCTACGGTACTCTGTCTGTTTTAAAAGTCAAAAACAGTTCAGTTTGCTAGCCTATTCAAAATTTTCAAATCAATAAATTTAAAGTCGCTTGAAGTGACCAACAGACACAGATTTCAATAAGCATCAACATTCATTATAGAAAATAGAGAAAAAAAATTAACTTAAAAAATAAGTGTCAGCTTACAAATAAACGAACCCGAACAACCTTACCTTTTTTTGTTGTCGTTGTAACGCAGACCCGGAAAGGAACTGACAGAGCAAAGGTCAGAAAAGTTGTAAAAGACCGAGAGAAGAATAGATAGATTTTTCATGAAAAACTGACCGGATCAGGTTGATGAAAAAAAAACAAAACAAAAAAAAAAAAAACAGCTAAAGACGTGGTTACTCATTGTGGATATAAAATTTTCAATGGCAAAAAAAAGGTACGCAAAGTTTGTGTTTGTGCACACAAACAATTTATTTCGTGGTTATAGGATGAATCGAAAAAAATCACGGACAAAAAAAAGAAAATCATGAGTTGTTCTTCTAATTGAAAAAATAAACAAAATTCTTTTGAGTTGATCACAAAAAATGCATATTTATTTCGCACAATTTTGAAGATAGATATTGAAAAGAATTATCGAAAAGAATTATGGGTATTGAAAAGAGATAGATAGATAGAGATAGATATCGAAAAGAATTAGATGAATAGATAGTGAAAATAGATAGATAGATTAGATAGATTGATATCGAAAAGAATTATGAATAGATATTGAAAATAGATAGATAGATAGATAGATAGATATTGAAAAGAGATATTGAAGAGATAGATAGATAGATAGATAGATAGATATTGAAAAGAGATATTGAAGAGATAGACAGATAGATAGAAAAATAGATAGATAGATATTGAAAAGAGATATTGAAGAGATAGATAGATAGATATTGAAAAGAGATATTGAAGAGATAGACAGATAGATAGAAAGATAGATAGATAGATATTGAAAAGAGATATTGAAGAGATAGATAGATAGAAAGATAGATAGATAGATATTGAAAAGAGATATTGAAGAGATAGACAGATAGATAGAAAGATAGATAGATATTGAAAAGAGATATTGAAGAGATAGATAGAAAGATAGATAGATAGATATTGAAAAGAGATATTGAAGAGATAGACAGATAGATAGAAAGATAGATAGATAGATATTGAAAAGAGATATTGAAGAGATAGATAGATAGAAAGATAAATAGATAGATATTGAAAAGAGATATTGAAGAGATAGATAGATAGATAGAAAGAAAGAACAGGATAGTGAACAAACTCAGACGATTCAATCAATCAGTTCCGACAGAATGAATGAAAAAATAGAAGCAGACACTAAGAAAAGGAATGGCAAAAAAAAATACTGTATACAACGGGTGTGGGGATTTGCAAAGAAATGCTGAACACAACTTAAAAAAATATGAAGAATGAAGAAAATATAGTAAGTACGAATATTAATAAGGAAAGAGAAAAAATATCAGTCCAAAATGTCCACCAAAGAAAAAAATAAAATAATATTAAAAGAAAACAATTCATCTACGCTTCTTAGTAGAATAAAATGTAATAAACGATGAGATGGGGGCAGAATAGAATAGGAAAAAAAAATTAAAAAAAACTTCTTGCGATTTTAGTAGTTTGAAATACTACCAGACAACTCAGCTGTCATAAAACTGCGCAAAGCTGTACGCCGAAATTGATACGTTTCTCGAAAAATTGTTTTTTGTTGTTTTTTTTCTAGTAGATGCGTGTTTAGTTCACGCTTTTTAAAATTTTATTTTCTGCAACATTCTCTCTCTAAATGCAAGCACTTAGTGACCGATTGCTCGAGCTGACAATATGTACATATGTTCTAAAAAAAAATGTAGTGTCTTCTTTTAAAAGAAAATTACCAGAATGAATGTTAGTTTGCTCAAGTACGAAAACGAACACACAATGTATGAATTATACATTCGTGTATCAGGTGTGAGTGCGTTCGCGTGTAATTAGACGTGCAACGGCCCCCAAACACACATAGAGCGTGTGAACGCACACACACACACACACACACACACACACACACACACATGCAGATGTGTACCGTTCTCTCACTAGAAAAACGTCGAAATTTTAATTACAAACAAAATATGAATTGTACAGCATGCATTATGTACGAGTTACGGAAACTATAGTTTTGGGTTGGCTTTGGGGATAATTACATATATATATTTTTAAATTAACACAAAAATATACCCTTTTTTTAACTAGAATTTTAAAATAAAAATTGAGTACAATAACAAAAACTTGGAAAAAAAAAAAGAAAGAAACGAGAATGACTCTGACAAGATTTTAAAACACTTCAGAAAAAAAATCCTAAAAGTCCAGGTGTTACAACGTAGACAATTGAGAGAAAACAAATATCAAATATAAATTTGATGAAATTAAGGAAGCATATTTTTTTTACGTGATTCTTTTCAGTCAAAACATTGTTTTGTCATCATTCTTATCCAGATATTGACACTTCGGCGTGATCAGCAAGCTTGTCTCACTCAATTACGAATGAATACGGAGTTCGATCCTCATTGGGCACACCATACTTTCTGCCTTGTCTCATAAGCTACGCTTAGAAAATTACCTTATCCCGAGACATATGTACAATATTTTTATAATATTGCACTATAATTCAAATTGTTATTACTTTCTCTTCACAACTTTATTTTATCAAAATACCCAGGAAGTTATTTTTTCTTCATTCTGCAGCATAGATCGGGAAATAATTATCTCTTTGCAAAATTTGACTCATCTCCACGAAAGCAAAACCGCAAAAAAATGGTAATTGCGTATAAACCATTTCCAAAAACATTCAGTATTCACTGGCCGAACAGTTAACTTTCTTACTGTCAGTTGAAACTTGAAATTTATAAAATCTTTTTCTTCAGTTTTTCCGGAAATCAGACTTCTCAAGTCCATTTAACTGTTATCGCTCTTTCTAGTATCGATCGGACTTTCCTTTCAAACCATTGTGTGGAAAGACAACATCTTGAATTTAAGCGCAGTACTAGATTGGCAGCTAGGTCTCATCATTTCACAACTGAAATAGCGAGATACAGGTTCGATGCAACGGTTTCCGCCTACCCCGAAGCTGTGAGACGCACCCCGAAGCTGTGATACGCCCGTCCCCACTCTACTCCATCTCAATTTTCTTAAAGCAGTATTCATATAAACACAAATTTTATTGTGAGCTAATTATGTACAATAACGGATCATATGCAATGTAGTTGAACAATTTGACTAGAAAAATTGAAAATAAATACAACGTATTTAAATACACATTATTAGAGACCTGTCATAATAGATCAATCAATCTTGAATAAATCAACATTGTTTTGCGGCAATTTTTTTTTGACATTGACTTGATATTTTTATTGTTAAAACGTTGAATAATTTCAAAACATTCAACATTATGGAAAAAAGATAATGAATTTTTTAGAGTGTTTTTTCGCGACTTAGCAGGAGCAAAACGAATTCACAGATTTGGACGAAATGACCCCAGAATGACGTCAAAATTCACGAAAACTTTTCATCCTTTAAATAGTCAATTGTGCTTAGTTTAATTTGTAACGTATATAAACGTAGGTAAAAAAAAAAGCAAATGTTGATAAGATAGCGAGGGTCACAAAGCACTGCCCGGGGTCCCCAATCAGGTTTGTACCCACTGGCTGAGCAGTTCGGGGATAGCACACACCGGCCCTGACTAGATGTAACCGCAGGCTCTATGCTAATCTTTTCTTCTACACTTCTACCTCATTCAACTTTTTTCTGTTTTTTTTTTCACTTTCCTGTTAGCTACGATCTTAAAAAATCTAAATGAAACGTTAATCATCATCTTCCGTCTTGTCGGAGTTAACTCCTCCTTAATTTCCTGATTGTTCACTAGGGCACGCTCTCCCTACACTATAAACACTGAGCGATTTATTGCCGCGTTCTCTTTTTTCTTCATTTTCAGCGAACACATCTACAATGTAAGCTCTCACAGAAGATTGCGTCTTCCCACTTGTGGGAGACGCCATGAATATTATACACACATACACGTACGTAGGAACATTCACCAAAATACAAACTCTTTACGTTTACACACAAACACAAATATTAATATCTATGTCCATTGTAAATTTTGTTGTTTAATACATATATTTGTTTATATATATATATATATATATATATATATATATGGGTGTTGTTGGTTTTCTTTACACCTCTTTATGGTGGATTCAATCCCTGAATCCGCCATGTTCTTGTAGTGGAAACTTCTAGCAGGAATAAACGGACGTGTTCCGAATTTAACAACAGGTAAACCCAAGGTTCGCTACAGTCGCCTTTAATCCTGTTCTTTTATTGACCTCTCTGTTTCATCCACCCTCAGTAACTCCCTGAATCATAGTGACTTCATTGTCTTTCTTGGGATGAAATTTAATAATTTCAAAAAATGTGCTATCAATTTTCATGATTAGAATGGTATCAGAGAGAGATCAATACAAATGCAGAAGAATATTTTATATAGATTACGCAAAAGCATTTAACAAGGTACCGTACAAGGATCTATTTGAACTACCGGAAAAAAAAAAACTAGATATATTTGGAAAAGATGTTAGAATAATCCAGAACTTATATTGGAAGCAACCCATCTGCATACAGATAGAAAATAAAATGAGTAGCTATACAAAAATAGAAAATGTATACGTCTTTCTTCCGATTTTTATTCAACCTCTACAGCGAAACTATCCTAAGAGAACTAGAGACCCTACGGGGGTTTATTATCTGTGGGTGTAATCTTAGCAATATAAGGTATGAAGATGACACTATGTTGATGGCTGACATGGAAAGAAGTCTACAGAACTTCCTAGACAGGGTAGTAAAAGAAAGCAAGATAAAAAAAATTGACTATCTATCAATTGTACGAAGACAGAATGTATGGATATAGGAGCAAGAGAAAGTGGAGATGTCAATATCGAGCAAGTGCAGAAGTTTAAATATCTGGTAGGTGTTTTAATAGAGGACGGAAAATACGACACCGAAATCTGAAGCTGCATTGGACGATCGAAAGGGGCATTCCAAAAGCTAAGCAAATGATGAGAAATAGAAACTTTTCATTAGAAATAAAGAAAAGGGCGCTGGATTACTATGCGATATCCATCTTCTAATATGGCGATATGTTATATAGGAATGAAGTGTCGCTGCTGACACTTGAGTTTCAACACAGATCGCCAGTGAACAAACACGGGAGATCCCATTACTGAATTAAGTGAATCACGTGACCATAGAGAAACGCACAAGTAGGAAGTCGCGTGACATCTAATTGATCGCATTTCTGTTCTATCCTCTGTTACTATTCGGATCGCCATTTCTACTCTATCCTCTATTACTATACGGACCGTTATTCTCTATATACTATTTCACTATACGAATTACTATTCGAGCGAGTATTATCGAGCAAGTACTATTAGTGCGAGTGCTATTCGAAGGCGTCTGACACCAGTATTGTTCAACGGCGTACTATGAGTTGCATCTGCGATTACAAAGTCTCTACTACAACGAGCATTTCGAAAGTGACAACAGGTGTTCGATGACATCACAAAACGATGAATGCTGGACAATCTCCCAATAAATGAGAAGAAAACTGGAAGCAACAGAAATGTGGTTCTACAGAAGGATACTGAGAATTTCATGGACGGAGCAAGTAAGCAATGAGGAAGTCTTAAAGAAAATGTTAATCAGAAAGAGTGTTGAATTCCCTTGCACATATAATGAGGACGTGGAGCTTGGAAAACAACCCTCGCAGGGTATATTGTGTGCAAGAGACATGGGACATCTAGTCACCTACCTGACTAGCATGCGTGAAGGGATGGTGGAACGGAAAGCGGGAGCCTTAGCAAAGGGAGAAAACTGCTAAGTTCCATAAGCGATAAGAAATGTTGAAGAGTCATCACAGCCATGCCCTGAAGGGTTACGGGACATAGATGATGATGCAAAGATACAACCTTAAGAACTTACTTCTTTACAACATTTTTGGGTAAATTTTCATTTTAACACCCGAGCGTCATTCACTGCTGAACTATTTTCTTTCAGAAACTAGTACGCGCTTCCGTAAAGTGATTTTTTTTTGTACTTAATTTCAGAAGAAAGTTAACTTTCAAATATATGTAAACATCGACAAATAAAAGAATAACAAAAGAAAAAAAAACACCTAACCCTAATTTGAAAGTTAACTTTCTTCTTCTTAAAAAAAAATTAAAAATAGAAGAATAACCAAAAAAAAAAAAAAAAACACCTAACCCTAATTTGAAAGTTAACTTCTTAAAAAAAAAAAAATTACTTTGTTATTCTTTTATTTGTCGATGTTTACATATATTTGAAAGTTAACTTTCTTCTTAAATTAAGTACAAAAAAATCGCTTTACGGAAGCGCGTACAAATTTCTACAAGGAATTACTGTGAAGGAAGTAAATAGGTCCAAATTGTATACGTCCACCAACAAAATTCAGCACTGAATTACTTATCAATGAGCCGGTAATGGCTGACGAAAAACCAGGAAAAAGTCCGATTTTTTTCGGGTCGTTAACATCCAAAAAGGTAGGTTTCTTCAATATCTAATTGTAACATTGTTGATTTGAGTTCAGCATATGCATTTGCACGGAAATAAGACTATTTTGGAAAAATCTGAAGGGATATTAGCGCTCGGGTATTAAAATAAAAATTTACCCATTTTTGTAGAAAATTATACTTATTTTCTGTCACCTTTGTTTTTCAAAAAAAAAAACAAAAAACAAAACGTGCTGGATTATCGATTTTCCCGGCAAAATATTACGATGCTTAGCTTATTTGACTTACGAATTATACACATCTCGTATCTTTAAAGTGTGATGACCTAAATTTAAACAAATATTAAAAATTGGAATTAAAAGTCATCAAGTGAAGCGAGTAATTCATGCAACCGTTTCGAATTTTGTTCAGATTGATTACCAGATCGTTAATTACCGTAAAATCGGGGGTGTAATGCAGTATCAAAATAAGTAAAGAAATAAAAACTGTTTTTTAGTTTACAAAAATAAAGAAAAGAAGAAAAATCTTTTTCTTAAGCTTGGAACGAACGTATTTTTATCTGTCCTCATATTCCGTAAAAATCTTTATTTGCCGTTTTTTAAGTTCCTACCAAATCAAATAATACAAACGAAGTTTCATAAACAAACAAAAACATGCTACAATATAATTAGTTTAATGATAATTACATTGTTATAATGAAAGTTAATAAATCGTCAATGATTCAAGAAAACAGACTGTTGATCTTGTAAATTCTTCAACATAAGAAGATTGAAAAATCGTTTTCTTTTTCTTTCATTTGGAGTTTGCATTTTATTCTAGGCCTGTATTCATAATATAAACATTCAATCAATGCAAGACCCATTTATTTCATGCATAGAAATACAGGCTATCTTATGCAAATGCTAATAAAATTTTTACTATAAAAGGCATTACAAATAATTTTACTATGAAAATGCATTAGATATTATTTTACTAGGAAAATGCATTACAAATGGTTTTATGATGAAAATGCATTGCAAATGACTTTACAAGGAAAATGCATTACAAATGATTTTACTAGGAAGTGAACTGGTTGGTTGCTTGCTTTGTTTAGTGGCATATCAACCACTATAGCTTATTTAATGCTGAAATCTAAATATTTTGTAGGCAATTTTTTTTTTCTTGAGATAATAACGGTTTTAGTAGTACAAGTCTTACTAGTTAACCCATAGCTGAGAGGATAAAAGGTGTATTCGTATCTTTCCCAAGGGTATTTGTGCATAAGTGAATATACCGAAATCAACAGGAACTCAGACTCAGCTCCCTGATTAACAATTCCGAGTCATTATCCACTATACCACCTGCTATTCCCAAGCAGTCATCCATGTCGGTACTGATCAAGGTTCAGTGATCATATGGGCATCAGTCTTTCAACATGATGTGGCCCTGAGTTGAGGAAGTGAAGTTCATGTAAGAAAAATAACATTTAACCCTAGACTTGAAGAGGTCACTATTGTAGTAATTGGGAAACATTCTGCAGTTCTTGGGAAGAAAAAGCTGTCCAAATGGAACTTACTTCTTACTAATGGAATACAAAGGGTATGAGAATGATTCACCCTGATGTATGTGGCATAGCAGGTCCCGGTTGTAAATGTCAGGGATGGTGGCACTTAGAAATGTAGTTTATCAGAAAACATGGAGAAGGCAACTGGAAACCATTCCACCATATTCCTGAGAAGTCATATTCATGTCATAAATGAATATAGGCTGTCATGGCTCTGCTCAGATTCTGTTTCTTTATTATGTAGCAATTGCCATGAATATATATATATATATATATATATATATATATATATATATATATATATATATATATATATATATATGAATAAAAATGACAATAGGAAAACTGGTAATTGCTGACGCGTTTCGTCCAATGTGGACTTTATCAAAGCAAAATACGAAAATGAAATTAAATGAACAAAGTAACTAATAAAAACAAAAACAGAATGTACCTAGCAACTGGAATGTAGAGAAACACTATTTTCATATTTTGTAACTGAAAAATAACGTCAGAGATTGTCACGTGTGGAGAATATTATCATTATATCTGTGTTGATGTATTCAGCCATTTTCTTTCGATTTTATGAATCTGTTGTGCATATTTGTTTGTATATATATATATATATATATATATATGCAAACTTAGTTAATCCATATGGGTAGACCTGAGGAGGATGATATCCAGAGAGCTCAATGTAAAATTCAGAGCAGATATGTTTGAATAAAAAACAGACCACGTTAAGATTCCATATAATAAGCTATTTCACCATAACCCCTTTTACAGGGTTCTGGATCATCAGACTTTACTTCCAAAAGCTGAAATGAAAAATGAAAAGAAATTCACACGTTTTTGACGGACCTCATCAAGTATACGTAAAATTAATGAAGTGAGGAAGTGAGGTGGGAGAGAGGATATGAGTGTGTCATATGTATCATTTAGCATATATATATATATATATATATATATATATATATATATATTTAGTTGGAGTGATGTGATTTTGTGACCCTGGGATTCACGCTTGTCTAATGATCTCAGAGAGTGTGATATACATATATAAAGGAAAATTATATAAAGATTATAATTTATTGTACACATTTATTTAATATATTAATAATAAATAATAATATTAATTTTAAATATTAATAAAATAAAATATCAATATAAATTAATATGGTAAAAGACTCAATATTGTGAAAAGGGGTGATCTTTGTCTATCCTTGATGTTGATGAAGATGAATATAAAGACACTTGCTGAGAAACATAAACTACAATGATCTCATTGAATAAATCTGAACTATTTTTTTTAATTTATCAATTACTCACATATTTTAAAATTGGTTATATTAGGAGTTACTAATGTACATAAATGTTCCATAGAATTTAGTTGTTAAATACGAGTTTATTTTCATTAAATTAGTTTTAATTCAAAATAAAGCATATACATTTATTATTTCTGTAGTACAATTCCTAAACTTATCTATTAGTAAAAAATAAAATAAGCTTTTCTTTCATCAAATGGTTATGGGGATCTACTAAAAAATAAGAGTAAAAGTGGTCCATGGGTAAAAAAAAGGTGGAAAATCAGTGACTTATAAGACAAGAAAAATTACCTTGTCAGTCATCTTTAATGAAACTTGAATAAAAGAGATTGCTGCCCAAATGCATAATTATATATATATATATATATATATAAAATGAAATATTAGTTTTAGGCCAGTAACATATTGATCATACCGATTTTGATATATGATTGAAAAAGGGAGCTGCTTGAGTAAAAGCCATAATCAATGAAGTGTTTTGGTCCCAAATAAAACTATTTTTGCTGTTCAGTTTCTGATAAGGACTGAATGATTGAGAGAAAGAGATGTGACAAATAGATAAGAGTGGGGGGGGGGTGATGGAACAAGTTTTGGACATTATATAGAATGTTGGGTTGGTAGATATGAGCAAACAGAAATAGACCCACATTAAAATAGGAGAGACATAGATATGAACAGAGATAGAGACATAGAACTGAAATTAATTGAGAGACAAAAATAGAAATGTAAATTGAATTACTGAAAGATATCAGCAAGATATGTGCAAAATGCATCATATAGGGATTGCAGATTTTACAGCAAAACAAATGTACTGATTGTTGGAAAGCACAAAGATTATGTAGGACCAATTGTTTAATTCAGAAATCCTTGTCTTTACACAATTTCAAACATTAATTTTTAGTACCTGAGATAAACTTGCTAGAATTTTGATCATCAGAACAGTCTTGATTATATATATTATTTTTTATAAAAAAAAAAATTATAACATAAATATGTTATAAAATCACTACAAAAATAGTCATTTTGTTTCAACACCCTTGGTGTCTTATCAAGTGATGATGTTGAAGATAAAATAAATGGTTTTAAAAGTTTCAAATTAATTAACGATCCTTCGCTTATTGTTACAAAAAGCTAGAATGACCAATCAAAACCCAAGTATAGGAAGATTCAAAAGCTTGACAACGAAATCATGTTATAATAGCTATTCAGATCAATTGGTTATTAGAATTCATTCTGTATACACCAATTATATATTATATATATATATATATATATAAAAATATATATTTTAAATATATATATATATATATATATATATATATATATATATATAAAAATGGCCTTGATTTTATATATATATATATATATATATATATATATATATATATATAAAAATGGCCTTGATTTTATATATATATATATATATATATATATATAAAAAATAGCCTTTGATTTTATATATATATATATATATATATATATATATATATATATATATATTATAATAGCGTTGATTATATATATATATATCTCCAAATGTAAAAAAAAAAAAGAGTAAAGATTTCAGCGTTCAAAACATTAATTTAAAACAGAGCACAATGCAAAAGTAGAGCCGTAAATATTTATTTATTATGCAGTGTTACATTAGAACATGCACATGCCCACTACAAAACTGTACATCTTGTTTCAATGTTAAAAATAAACAAAAACTTATTTCATCAGTTGGGGAATCACGATGCATCAAGTCACCTTGTAATTTCCCACCTGATGAAACATTAAAAAAAGTTTTTGTTTTTTTAACGTTGAAACAAGATGTACAAGATGTACAGTTTTGTAGTGGGTGTGTGCATGTTCTAATGTAACACTGCATGATAGATAGATAGATAGATAGATAGATAGATAGATAGATAGATAGATAGATATAGAACAGCCTTGATTATATTTATCTCAACATCATCATCATCCCCTTGACTTTTGTTTTTGTAATTGTTGAGGGGATCTGAATGCACTAAATCTCCTCCAAACAGTCTATCAACAACAGCCATCAGCAATTCAGGTATAGTCATACCTGTCCATTGTTTGACATTGTCAAAACTGTTTTAATGTTGGTGTCCTCTCCTACATCCACCTTCAACAATGGCGTGCATGATGGTCTTGCACAGGTTATCGTGCCTTGTAACATGTCCAAACCACGCCATTTTTCTTTGTTTGACAGAGGCAAGAAGAGGTTTCTGGTGGCCCACAAAACTTTTAACCTTTTTCTGCACAAACTCATTGGTTTTATGTTCTCAAACGCTTGGATCCTTCTCTCTGATTCTACCCAAAATGTTCACGTATCACATCCATATAGGAGAATGGAGATGACAAGCAATTTGTACAGTCTGTACTTATATATATATATATATATATATATATACACATACATGTATATATTATAAATAACATATTTTGGCAGCAGTGTTCCAATTAAGATGATTTTCTTAAAGACATCTGTTACATTATACAAAAGAAAAACAGTTACTAACAAATAAAATATGTTTCCGCGTGTGTGCATGTGTATATATATATATATATATATACAGGGTGACCCAAAAAAACGGGAACTTTTTAACAATCCAGTAAAACCAAGAGTGATGGAAGAAAAATATTTTATTCATAGTAATTGAAACCTTAAAACATGCCATTTAAGAAACAATGATGTAATTTTCATTTTTTAAAAATTACATCTTGCAGATGGCGTCCTCCAGTACGAATGCATTCTTGAAATCTGGTGTCGAGATTCCTCATTGACTGCTGCAACATCTCAGCTGGGATACTGTGAATTTCATCTTGAATTCTAAATGGCAAAATGTTTACTTGCTCAAGGTCACTGTCTTGCAGTGTTGCCATTTGTTCATGTCTGGCAATATGCACTTCAAAAATTACCATTTTTTGGGGTCACCCTATATATGTATATATATATATATATATATACACACACGTGCAGACACACATTTTACCCCAAGTTAGGTGATAATGCCACTAGAATGCAGGAGGTGACAGACAGTGAAAGAAAATGAGAAGACTTTAGTGAGGAAAAGAATAATAAAGGAACAAGGAGACAGAAGATGGCAAGTGATATTGCATTTTAAATTTTTGAAGATTGTAGGTGACAGGGAAGGTAGAAATCAGAAGGGATTTCCACAGTTGAGAACTGCAAGAAAAAGAAACTATTAGAATAGGACAGACAGTTTAACTAGTAAGTTCAACAATAAAATGGTGAGACCTAACTGCCAACCTAGTAATAAACTTAAATTCATGCAGTCGAGGTACTTGTCTGAACAATTATCATGAAAATATTTGGGAAAAAGACATGGGGAAAAGCCTCATCACATTGGTGAGTATGTGACTGAAGCCAAGATGCCAGGTTAGGATCGATTCCATTACAGACCGTTCTTGAAATATTGTCAAGAAGCTTGAGATATATGGTAGGAGAACCAGACCAGATATGGCAGCAGTATCCAATACATGAATGAATGAAAAATTTATAACTGTGCAAGCTATATTCTGATGGGAATTGTCTGGTATGACACATTAGATATAGGCATAGATTGTGTGGCCATAAGAATCAATAATGCATAGTGACTGTATGTTTCACACATTAATGCTATCATCAAACCAAGTGTCACTACTTCTTTTGTGGGCTCTTTATATAGATTCCCAGTTCTTTTCTTTAAGCCTAATGCTAGAAGTTATTTATAGTCAGGGTCTTTATTTTGCTTATTTTATTTATTATCTATTTATATAATTTTTTAAAATGTATTTAGCATTGAGTTGTGAAAGTGACAGTCACCATGCACTGTTGATTCTTATATCCACACTATCTATAACTATAACCACAATATGTCTGATACAGAGCATTCTTCCCTTATAAATGTAGCAAAATTTTAAATTTATTTATATATATATATATATATATATATATATATATATATATTTTCGTTAAAAACGACAGACAAAATTACTACAGTTGAGCTTTTTATTTAATTTTTTCTTGTGTTCTGACAAGAGCTTTCTTTTCTGGACAAAGAGTGTGTAAGAACTGTCCGAATGTTCTGTTTTTCCGAGCGCTTTTTCATTTATACTTTTAGCCATTATCAAGGATGGTTCAATGATGGATATTCATTATCAAGTAGAGTGTGTGTTCTATGTATGTTCAGTGTGTGGTAGTGATGTTTTGGTTTCCGAATACAGTTAGCACATTGTGGCCTTGTTCATAATTGATATTGTTAAGAGTTGGCTTTTTTCTTTTTTATTATTAGAGCTTCCATTATTTTAGTCTTTTTTTTTGCAAGTGGATGCAGTTAATATATTAGTGTTTTCTACTAGTATGTTCCTAATAGTGTCGGGTAAATCTGAGTGTGTGTTTAAATGTGTTCTGATGGAACTGTGATCAGATAGGTGTAATGTAAGACGTCTGGATAAACATGCGCTCGGAAAAACAGAACATTCGGACAGTTCTTACACACTCTTTGTCCAGAAAAGAAAGCTCTTGTCAGAACACAAGAAAAATTAAATAAAAAGCTCAACTGTAGTACCTTGTCTGTCGTTTTTAACGAAACATGCATAAAGGAAGGATTGCTGCCTAATTATACAAATATATATATATATATAATACACAGGTTGTATCAAAAATACTTTTACAGGCTTTGGAGGTGGGTTCCTCACACCAAAACAAGAACAAAAGTCCAGATAAAAATATGTCCACAAATCTTTCATATTTGAGTTATTAAGCTTAAAGAAAGTTTATGGTAGAGGGTACTGTGTTTCCATGTAGACTAGGTTACATTTGTCATTTGTGTATTTTTGCATGTAGTCTGTCATCAATGTTTAATGTGTATACTACTAAGTTAACTGAGAAGTGTTCCATTTAACAATGGCAGGATATTCATATTGTGGATGAGCTGATATGATTTTTACATATGACCACATGAATGGTAATGGATACAAGGCTTCACAGCTGTATAAAATTGCACTTCCAGAACAAAGGCAACTGAGTCATCTAACCTTTGCTGCTGAGACAGGATCAGTGGCACCACAAACTATGGATCAATGAAGACAGAGAATCTGCTCATATGCCTGATCATGCCATACATCATATAGTACTACATGAAGGGTACTTCAAGAGCAGCTCCTGTATCCGTATTATTTGCAATGTGTTCAGGATCTTTCAACCCCTGATCACTCACCATGGAAGAACTTTTGCTGATAGCTTATTGCACAAATGGCCACATCATTGTTTGTCTCTTCAGTCTTGTTTACAGATGAAGCAAGATTTGGAAGAGATAAAATAACAAATTTACACAATCAACATTTGTGGGTGGATCAGAATCCCCATGGTATAATACAGACTAGACACCAGCATCAGTTTAGGTCTGGAACTGTAGGTGACTGTCTGGTAGGTCCATATGTTCTCCCAGCATGTCCTACAGGAGCTTCTACAGGGACTTTATTTTGAACATACTTGCAGACTTGCTAGAGGATGTATCCCTGCTTATATGAAGATGCATGTGGTTCATGCATGATTGGTCTCCACATTTTAATCACATTATTCATGATGCACTGGCAGACATCTCCCTTGAAAGATTGATAGGTAGGAGAGGCCTGCATGTTCCCCATCTCAATTCTTTTGGATTTTTATCTGTGGGGCCAGCTAAAACAATTGGTTTCTGCAGGAGACATTAATAATGCAGAGATGCTTCATCAACATGTCACAGGGGCCTGCAAAACTATTTGAAACTATGTGGGATTATTTGAAAGAGTTTACCTGTCAATGATCTGACAGGTGCATGCATGTGTAAAAGAAAGTGGAGGATATTTTGAATATTTCTTATGATTTGCTATGTTTAGGTAGAATGATGGCCTTTTAGACATATGTTTATATGGATATTTTACCTTGTTTTGGTGAGAAGAACCCGCCCTCAAATTTTGTAAATGTATTTTTGATACAACCTGTACATATATATATATAGTGGTACTCATTTGGAAAAACCTTAGGTATTTTGGCTTGTAATTGAACAAACCAATGCCCAATGAAAAATGAGGGATAAAAAAAGAAAGAACTAAGAACATGAAATTGAGGCAAAAATAATCGTCCAGAATTCAAGCTCAGAGTCCAAAGAAAAGAACTTCCAAAATGAGTAAAAGTAACTACGTAAAGTGCTCAATACACTAAGTAGAGCAAACCTAATATAAACCTAAAGAGCCAGGTAAACCTACCTAGATTTCACCTATATGGATTGTCAGGGTAAACTGGCTACTGATGTGAAAAAGCCAGTTTACCCTGATGATCCGTGTAGGTGAAACCTAGGTAGGTTTATTATATATATATATATATATATATATATATATATATGAGACGGATTCAATAAGTCTATAACCCAGTCTAGTTATTATCTGAATTTTTATATAAAATTTTCACTGTAAAATATTTGATTTATGTGATTGATAGTCATCACTGAATTAAGTACATTGTCAAAGAAGAAGATTATGTTGAAAAATAATATTGTGAAAATTAAATGGTGCTTTGACTATTAGGCTACAGACTTCTGTGTATATCTGTATAAACATGAAATTTGACAAAGTTGCTTGTAAACAAAATCAAAAACAGTACAAAGAGCAATGGTTGGTTTATCTCAAAAAGAAAGAAAAAGCTCAACATAGACCAAGGAACAGATAGGGATAATAATAGTGCAGAAGTGATTAAGTAAGAAAAGAGATGGCAGGCAAGACACATAGCAAGAAGAAAGGATAACAGATGGAGCAAAAGGTTGCTTGAGTGCAAACAAAGTAAGAAAACCTATATAAGAGAGAGAGCGAGAGAGATGAGATGAGATAATTTTTTCATTGGTAAAAAATGATGGCGAATAGCATAGTCAAATGTCTTTGGACA